TGCAACCTCCACCTCCTGGGTTCAAGCGATTCTTCTGCCTCAGCCTCCCGAGTAGCTGGGACTACAGGCGCGTGCCACCACACCTGGCTAATTTTTGTATTTTTAGTAGAGATGGGGTTTCATCATGGCCAGGATGGTCTCGATCTATTGACCTCGTGATCCACCCACCTTGGCCTCCCAAAGTGCTGGGATTACAGGCGTGAGCCACCACACCCGGCCACTGTTGACATTTAAAGACATCCATGGCATGACTAATTTCTTAAAAGAACAAGAAGAAAAAAAAACTATCAAATTTCTCACCACTGATGTTCATCTGGTAATTTCACTGGAACACTGTAAAAAAAAAAGCCTCAAGTCAAGTGATCACACACACCTGAAGGGTCATTTAAAAGCCCCTAGCTAAGATCACATGTAGTGGCTCACACCTGTAATCCCAGCACTTTGGGAGGCTGAGGCAGATGGATAACCTGAGGTCAGGAGTTTGAGATATGCCTGGCCAACATGGAAGCCCTGTCTCTACTCAAAATACAAAAGTTAGCCGGGCGTGGAAGCATGCGCCTATAGTCCCAGCCACCAGGGAAGGCTGAGACAGGAGAATTGCTTGAACTTGGGAGGTGGAAGTTACAGTGAGCCGAGATTGTGCCACTGCACTCCAGCCTGGGGTGACAGAGCGAGACTCCATCTCAAAAAAACGAGCCCCAAGCTAGACTTAATAGAAAACAGTTTCTGGTTTTTTTTTTTTTTTTTCCCTTTTATTTTGTTCATGATTGCTCCAGGGACGTGCTAAAAAGGTTTCAGCAGAGGAAATGTGCCTGAAGGAGCATTGCTGGAACATTCTGTGTCTGTGAGGAATATTGCTCTTAAGATTCATTATTTGATCATGAAACAAACACTTTCCACTTTGTTGATATGGCTCATGCTTTGTGGGGCCATTTCACAGTGCTCATCAACATCTGAAATGGGCATGCTCAGACCAGCAGGCCCCCTTCTAGCAATTTCCTTCAGAGAGACGCATACTTGTGCACAAAATGTGAAGCATTGTCTGCAATAACAAAAATAACCACAATCTAAACATCTATTTGGAAGGGACTATCTGAACATGGCATATTCATATAATCCGGAGACTTTGTAGCCTTCTCAAAGGCCGACAGACGCTCCTCAGGCACACGGACACTGGGAAGGACTGGAGAACACAGCACTAGCTACAGACAGTACATTGCAGCATATGTATAACCTATAAAAGCAGACATACACTATCTTCCAATTCTGGATGTATTTGTGTGCACACAAGCTATTTCGTCCATTAGGCACAGCAGGCCCAGAGCCTAGAGATTACAAACTTTTCCAGGGCCAAATGTATACATATGAGATAACCCCAGTCTAATCATTAAAAAAAAAAAAAAAAAAAAAAAAAAACCCAATACAAAAAAAAAAAAAAAAAAAAAAAAAAAAAGGCAAATTCCAATTGACAGCCATTCCACAAAACACCTGACCAGTACTACTCAAAACAGCCAAGGGCATCAGAAACAAGAAAAACCTGAGAAATGTCACTGCCACAAGGAGCCAGAGATATGCTAAGTGTAACATGGTATCTTGGGGGGATTCTGGAACAAAAAAGACATAAGTGAAAACTAAGAACACCTGAATAAAGTATGGACTTAATAATAACTTATCAATATTGGTTTATTGGTTGTGACAGGGAAAGTGCTGGTGGGTGTGGCGCACGGGGAATCTCCTGTGCTACCTTTGCAACTTTTCTATAAGCCTGTAAGTTAGAAAATAAAATTTGTTTTAAAGATGTGTGATCTAGGCTAGGCACGGTGGCTCACGCCTATAATCTCAGCACTTTGGGAGGCCAAGACAGGAGGACGGTGTGAGCCCAGGAGTTCGGGACCAGTCTGGGCAACAAAGCGAGACCTCATCTCTACAAAAAGTAAAAAATTTAGCCAGCTGTGGTGGTACGCCTGTGGTCTTCGCTACTTGGGAGGCTGAGGCAGGAGGATTACTTGAGCCCAGGAAGTCAAGGCTGCAGTGAGCTGTGATTGTGTCACTACACACACACACAAGTATGAGATATGAGAAAAGGTATAAGGTATGAATTACAAAAATATGCAAAGAAAGTTACTAAATCTAAACATAGAAAAAGGAAACATGAGGTCAATTGGTCACCTGCTACTCAGTTCAAATCTTATGTAGTTACATACAAATTACGTTTAATGTACAATGTGGGTACATGCTGTGTTAGAATGCAGACCACAGCTACTGCTGGGGAGAAGAGTGGGGATGTGGCAGTTAGGGATAAGTCAGGAAAAAAGACTTTACACTAGATATTATAACGGAATTTAATATAAGATATTGGTTAAACAGGCATCAGTGGACTGCAAATGTAAAAAGGGAATCTAAGCTAACACAGAAGTAATCATGAAATGAAGCAGGATGGAAACTCTTAAGGGCGGGGAATGAAGGGGATAAGCTGGAGTTTATCACCAGGCATGGAGGCTAAGGAGAGGTCTGCAGAGTTGAACTCAGATCTCTGAGCAGGGGGTCCTGCCTGGCTGCTGCTAGAACCTCCAAGGAGGTGAACTGGGGGGGATGTAATGAGGCTGGTTTTGTGAATATCCCCAAAAAGCTGGAGGCTGAAGCCCACTGCTGATGCCAGGATGGTACAGACAGAACAAACAGGCAAACAGGATGCAGCAAATCCCCTTTCCCTTCCCCATGCCTTTCAGGCTCTCTCTTGTGTCCCTGACCCGTGGAACCTTAAGAGGATGCCAGCTGACAAAGGAAAGGTGTAGCGTGCAGAGTCGCAGTCCCAGCATCCAAAGCTGGGCAGATAGAAGTGGGCTTGGAGCTTCCTAACCAGCACCAACAGGCACCTCTGCACAGCGAGGAGACACATCTACCCTTTGTACAGAGACTCTCCCTCTTCTCAACACTCATGGTATCCTCTGAGTGAGCACAGGGCTCATCTCTAGGCAATATTACATTTTCACTTCTCTAATTAGCTTGTAGAATATTTGGGTGGCACTCAAACTGAATGGTCAAATTAACCACACAATTCTAATAAAAAGGCAAAGGAGGCATTTGCTCCTTCACATTTGCTTGCTGTTCCTTTAGGCATCTCTCCACTATGAGCCCCTCACCTCGGCAGCAAGAGCTGGTTCTGAGCTTCAGTGTCTTTCACATTCTCCCAACCAGCCCTGCCCCTGCCCCACGGGTGCCAGCAGCAGCAGAGGGCACCTCTCTCCCAAGTGCTAGGTTGTGACAGCCCGAGCTTCCTGTCCTGGCCTCCCACCCCCCAGGGCTGCTTACTGCTTCTGCAGCAGTGTCTCTGTTTTCCCACAGTGTGCCTTTTGTGATTTTTCAATCCAACGTCTATTTGATCAACTTCCTATTTTAAATTATCTTTGTTGCCTAGTATTGGATATAGATCCAAAGGAAATGAAATCAGTATCTCAAAGAGAAATGTGCATTTCTGTGTTCATTGCATGATTATTCACAATATCCAACATAAGGAAACAACTTAAGCATCCTAGAGAAAATATGGCATAAATCACACAATGAAATATTATTCAGCCATAAGTAACAAATCCTGCCAGTCAGAGAATTGCTTGAAACCGGGAGGCGGAGGTTGCAGTGAGCTGAGATGGCACCACTGCACACCAGCCCAGGTGACACTGCAAGACCCCGTCTCAAAAAAAAAAATAAAATAAAATAAATAAGAATAAAAAATAAATCCTGCCAGTCATGACAACATGGATGAGCCTGAAAGACATTATGCTAAGTGAAATAAGCCAGACACAGAAAGACAAAAACTGTATGATCTCACTTACATGTGGAATCTAAAAGTAGAACTCACAGAAGCAGGGAACAGAACAGTGGTGGATAGGGACTGGCGTGTAAGGGGAGACACTGCTCAGAGGGCACAAACTTTCAGTTATGAGTAAGTTCTGGGAATCTAATGTAAAGCATGGTGACTACAGTTAATAATACTGGATTGTTTACTTGAAATTTGGTAAAAGAGTGGATCTTAAGTTTCCTTATCACAGACAGACACACAAGGTAGCTATGTGTGGTTACGGATGCATTGATTAATTTGGTTGTGGTAATCATTACACAATGTTTATGTAGATCAAATCATCACATTGTACACCTTAGATATATACAGTTTTTATTTATCAATTATGCCTCAATAAAGCTGGGGAAAAAATTACCTGGTATGATTTCTCTTTTCCTGACTGACACAAAGAGTTAGAGTGGCACTAAGTTAACTTCTTATGCTACATACTCTGTATTGCTGAACAAAAAAAAAATTTTTTTTTTGAGACTGTCACCCAGGCTGGAGTGCAGTGGTACGATCTCGGTCCACTGAAACCTCTGTCTCCCGGGTTCAAGTGATTCTCCCTCCTTAGCCTCCCAAGTAGCTGGGACTACAGGAGCATACCACCACACCCAGCTAATTTTTGTATTTTTAGTAGAGACGGGGTTTCACCACGTTGGCCAGGCTGCTCTCGAACTCCTGACCTCAAGTGATTCACCTTTCTTGGTCTCCCAAAGTGCTGAGATTACAGGCGTGAGTCACCATGCCTGGCCTTTTGTCATTGAAAATTTTTACAAAAATATATTCATTAATCAGTCATATAACTAAAAGCTTTAAAAAAAGAGGTCAATGTGCACTCAGATAGAAAGATGTCCACCATCTATTAAGTGAAAAAAATTAAGTTGTAAAACATTATGCATAGGAAGATCCCATTTTTCTTAAAAATATATTTACATTTGCATACCTACAGCAAAAGTGGGTAGAAACACACCACACACCAACTTAACAGTTTTCATTCGATGGTTAGCATAATGAATCAGAGAAAGAACCACTTGCCTTTTACTTCATACATCCCTGTGGTTATGTTCGGTTCCTCTAAAGCATGGGTACCAGTACTCAGGGTAAGTAAGCGTATAAACACACATCTAGGCTCTAAGCCACACATAAGACACTATTTTGGCCGGGCACAGCAGCTCATGCCTGTAATCTCAGCACTTTGAGAGGCCAAGGTGGGCAGATCACCTGAGGTCAGGAGTTCGAGACCAGTCTGGCCAACATGGTGAAATCTCATCTCTACTAAAAATATAAAAAATTAGCCAGGCGTGGTGGCTCACATCTGTAATACCAGCTACTCAGAAGGCTGAGGCAGGAGAATGGCTTGAATCTGGGAGGTGGACATTGCAGTGAGCCCAGTTAAGGCCACTGTACTCCAGCCTGGGCAACAGAGCAAGATTCTATCTCAAAAAAGAAAAAACACTTATTTTGGAGAACCCCAGAGGCACAACAGTGCTTCTCAAGCAGGGCAATTTTTGGCCCTCTGCTGGGAAGGGGAAGGGAGGATCAAGCATTGCCTGGACACATTCATGGTTGTTGCAATGGAGGCAGGGGGTACTGCTGGCATCTAGTGAGTAGAGGCCAGGGATGCTGCAAAACAGCCTCCAATGCACAGGCCCAGCACCCCATGACAAAGAAAAAAGGCAGCCTGATATGCCAAGGTTGAGAAACCCTGCTCTATATAACTTGACTATTGTTAGTACTTCTGTGGTCAAAGTAGAAATACTCCATGTCTAATGCTGTGGACAGCCAGACATTTGCCAGAATTGTACAAGGAGTAGTTGGGTCAGAGCTTTGTTTTTAGGCTTGGAGGATTTGCTTTTCTAAAAAAAAAAAAAAAAAAAGGTGGGGGCACTATCAAACAGCACAAAACATTCAAAGGGTACAGAAGGGTATATGGTAAAAAGTAACTTTCCTTTCCACTCCAGCCCTAAACCAGCCAGCTCCCTTCTGAAGAAGGCAACCACTGTGAGCAGCTTCTTTTCCGTTCCTCCAGAGGTATTCTAAACACACAGCACAAGTGTATGGATCACCTCTTCCTCTGCCTACTGCCCCCCACTCCAGCTGGCAGCATACTCTGTCTACTGCTTTGTAATTTACTTTTTCACAACGTCATGGAGATCATTCCATTCCAGCACACATACATCTGTCTCATTGTTCAAAAGCTGAACAGGACATAATATGGTGTACTCAAAGACAATAACGTTGTTTCCAATATTCTGCTGCAGGAAATAATTTTGTACACTGCCTATGGGCTACACATTCAAGAGAAACTGAGAAGTCCCTAGAAGAATTCCTGGATCATACGGTACAAACCTTTGAAATTCTGATGGAAATTTTTGAGTAAAGTAATAACAAAAATATAATATGGAGATGAGTTACTCAAGTGCTCTATTTAGATGCTTTAATAACTGTGGATATTCCAGTTACACAGCATATAGCTCATATGCTAATCATAAAAGATTGGTCACAGGAAGCATCTACAAGCAGATAGTTCCTTTTATGACTTACTTTTCAACCTTGGGGAACCAGGATAATACAAACTACAGGGGTCAAAAGATAGTAACAAGAAAAGAATGGAAAAAAAAGATAGTAAGTGTTGGTGAGAATGTGGAGAAACAGGAATTCTCATGCATTGCTAGCAGAAATGTAAAATGGTGCAGTCACTTTAGAAACGGTTTGGCATTTCCTCAAAATGTTCAACATAGTTACCATATGATCCAGCAATTCCACTCCTAGGTATACACCCAGGAGAATTGAAAATATATATGTCTGTCCAGGCGCAGTGGCTCATGTCTTTAATCCCAGTACTTGAGGAGGCCAAGGTAGGTGGATCATGAGGTCAGGAGTTCAAGACCAGCCTGGCCAAGATGGTAAAACCCCGTCTCTACTAAAAATACAAAAATTAGCTGGATGTGGTGGTGGGTGCCTGTAATCCCAGCTACTCAGGAGGCTGAGGCAGAGAATTGCTTGAACCTGGGAGGCGGCAGTTGCAGTAAGCCGAGATCACGCCACTGCATTCCAGCTTGGGCAACAACAGAGTGAGTCACCAAACAAACAAACAAACAAACGCACACACAAAAAAAACCTATGTCCATCTTCAAAGGAAGACAAATTAGGTAGCCAAAAACAAAAAACTATGCCCATCCCATTCCAGCAGGTGCAGCTAAAAAAAAAAAGAAAATATGGCCAGGCATGGTGGCTCACGCCTGTAATGCCAGCACTTTGGGAGGCTGAGGTGGGTGGATCGCAAGGTCAAGAGATTGAGACCATCTTGGTCAACATGGTGAAACCCTGTCTCTACTAAAAATACAAAAATTAGCTGTGCATAGTGGCATGCGCCTGTAGTCCCAGCTACTGGGGAGGCTGAGGCAGGAGAATTGCTTGAACCCGGGAGACGGAGGTTGCAGTGTGCCAAGATCGCACCACTGCACTCCAGCCTGACTCCGTCACACATACACACACAAAAAAACATATATATATTCACTTACAAACCTCTAAATAAATGTTCCTAGCAAGCATTATTTATAATAGCCAAAAGGTAGAAACAACCCAAATGTTCATCAACTAACAAATGGATAAACAAAATATGGTATATCCGTACAATGGAATATTATTCAGCCATAAGAAGAATAAAGTATTGATAGATGCTACAATACTCTTGAACCTTGAAAAAATTATGCTGAGTAAAGGAAGCCAGTCACAAAACGCCACATACTGTAGTATTCCATTCATAATAAATGTTCAGAAAAGGCAAATTCATTGAGCTAGAAACTAGATTAATGACTGTCAAAGATGGGAAGTGGGGGATGAGGGAGGGAGAATGGGGAATGACTACCAACGAGTTTTATTTTTTTTCTTTTTTTTTAAGACAGAGTCTTGCTCTGTCGCCCAGGCTGGAGTACAGTGGCACGATCTTGGCTCACTGCAACCTCTGCCTGCGAGATTCAAGCAATTCTCCTGCCTCAGCCTCCCAAGTAGTTGGGACTACAGGCACCTGCCACCATGCCCAGCTAATTTTTGTACTTTTAGTAGAGACGGGGTTTCACCATAATGGCTAGGCTGGTCTCGAACTCCTGACCTTATGATCCACCCACCTCGGCCTCCCAAACTGCTGGGATTCCAGGTGTGAGCCACAGTGCTCGGCCCAGGGGATTATTTTCAAGGTGATGAAAATGTTTTGAAATTAGTGATGGTTGCTCAACTCTGAATATGATAAGACCACTGAATTGTACATTTAAAAGGGTAAATTCTATCCCAATAAAGCTGTTACTAAAAACAAATATACGGAAAACACCTGGCATACCATAGCTACTCATTATAACTTCCAAAGCCTCTTTTGGAAAGAGATAAACTAAAACTCAGGGTAGCCTAAGCTGTTTTAGGTGCATAGAATATTTTCAACAGAACTTACTGGTTCATTATTTTGTGTGTTTGTTTGAAAGCGTACAATTCAGTGGTATTTAGTGTATCACAATTGGTATATTGGTTCAATTCTCAACATTTTAGAACCTGTAAATCAGTAAGTTGATTAACAAATCTATTGAATATCCCATTCGGAGTCATTTCTAGGTATTTGGGGAAGTAAGGAGGGAAGCACAGTCCTCATCCTCAAGAAACCCAAACCATTCTTAGGAAGAGAAGACATTCGGCAAAGAAGTCAGCATATAATGGACCTTCAGAGACAGCAAAGAAAATGATCTCCATGGAGAAACAGGATTTCTAGACTGGTTTCCCCAGTATTTAACAGACAGAAACAGGATTTCCCCAGTATTTAACAGACAGAAAATTCTGGTTTTCATAGGAAAAGAAGGATAAGGAAGTGAGTAAAAACAGGTTAAATGTATATATTTTTAAAACTCCACAAAACTATAGGGTCACAAAATGACTCAAGAAGCAATATTAAATGACAAAGCCAATCATTCACCATGAGTGTTGATGACCGTCTGAGGTGAACATTAGCGTCCTAACACTTAACGAACACGTCGCTCGTCCCTGTTCCAGCCGGGGCCACGCCCTACATGTCTTTCTAATCCCACAGTCCTAGTGCAGAGTCTTGCACATAATCAAAAGAATGAATGAATGTTGTCATCATCCTTAAACACAAGCAGACACAGGACAGGTCTTGCTACATCCAGGCAGAAGCTCTTGCTGCTTCTCTGAAGTGTGTGTCACAGTATGGAAATCAATTTCTTGACTCCTACATCAAGTTGCTACTTGATTGCTATCTTCTATAAGGCTAACAAATGAAAACTCAAAATGTAAACAAAAGGGAGACACCATGGCACAGTGGTTAAAAGCACAGCTCTGGAGTCAGACAGATCTGGTTTTGGGGTTACCAGCTATGTGACTTCAGGCAAGAGACTTCACTCCTCTGAGTCTGTCTCCTCATCTGTAAAATGGAATGCAATACACAAAAACAGCACCTAACAATAGGGTCTTGTGAGAATTAAGTGACATTTGTTGAGGGTTTACTATGTGCCCTCAAAAAACAGTTGGCTGGCATTATGAAGACTGGGAACTCTCACAAATCAGGAAGTTCTAAAAGAGGTCACTTTTCCCCATCCTCATTTTCTTGGTCTTCTTTGCAAAGGCCTCTGGGTCTAGCAGTGCCTGGAATAGACCAGGAGCTGACAGGCTGGCAATGGACCTTTGCTGAATGACCCAAGGAATTAGGATACAGGTGCACGGCAGACCTGGGAGACAGCAAATAAAAAACACAAGTGGAAGGCTTTCCAGAGTTTCCCTGGAGACCGGCTTGAGGAACGCTGGCTATACCTAGGACCTAGTTATTTGATTAGCCCAGAGATTGTTCTGAATGACATCTGAGGGTGCAATGACCTCACACCTCACTGTCTACATTGTCATATAAATTCACACTATGAGTCTAAACAGGTTTTGCTTACCATTTAGAGGGGTTAAACAGCATCAGAGGAGGTTCAAATATATAAACTGAAACTGGTCAAAAAAGAATAGCCACATTTCAGAAAATATACCATTGGTGAGCTTTTTCCGTGATAAGGCTAATATTTTTTAAAAGGAGGCACAGTGAATTTAAGACATTGACATTTATAGCCGTAGCTCGACGCTTACTCTTGGAGGCCCAATTATCATCCCTGTCCATCTTGTAAGTGTCATGTCTTCGTCATCTTCTAGACCCCAGCTAACTGTGCCATCTCCTACTCCTTTCTGGCCTTCTTCGAGTTCTTCCAACAGTCGGAAATTGCGAGGGACTTTTACTCCTAAAATAAATGGAAAGAAATTCAAGATACCAGCAACTCCAGGGGAACTTGTAAGCCTAGAGCTAGCTGCTCATTATCACTCCCTGGGAATAAAGATGCTAACATGCAAAAAAATCATGGAAAGTTATCACACCTCCAACTTGCCACTTATAAAGTTATCAGTATCAACCAGCGCAACCAGAGGGAAAGAGCACATGGTTCTGTGACAGGTGAAGTGACCAGGGCTGGATAACCAAACTTAGAAACCCACTCCCACCCCTTGGACAAACCTCATAAGGGGCTTACATGTCTAAATGTCGATTAATTGGGGTCAACCAGTTTGAGATGAGAACCATCAATCTCAAGCGCTAACAAAAGCACCCTGCAAGACAAGTGACTAAGAGTATGATTATTTGCTGGCATGACTCTCAAACAGCCTTTAGGGGGAATAGTCGCCATGGATATGGCAAATAAAAATGGTATCCTCTTAATCAACTAAGAGTCAACTGAAGGTACCAAGGATAAAATTTTCTATTGTTTTTCAGTTACTAAAGCGATAGTTTACCTTTTAATTTACAAAAAAGCTAAAAGGGAGTAGCTGGTTCTCTAATTTGTTTCCAAAAATCCCAAAGCCTGGCAAGTAGCTCTTGAAAGCAACACATGAAAACTTCTCATAGGTTCAAGCCACAGTCCTGGGTTCAGGCTGAGGCTTGAGCCATTTCTAGGCATCTTCCAGAACAGAACCTAGGTACTAGGGCCAGACAAGGGATGGGGGTACGGGAGGGGAGAGAGATGAACTTTCTTCCTGCGCTTGGGGAACAAGTCATCTCTCCTAGGGTTGCTCTCCCAACCAATCCTGCCTGTCTCTCCTTCCTCCCGTTTTCCTCAGCATATGCACTATTTTCTCTAGAAAAAACTCAGGATCCAGTCAAGTTTCAAGCTCTCTGCCTTAAATGCTGAGTTCTCAGTTGGCCAGACTCTCAGAGACGAATAGAACTAACCATATGACTGTGAAGAGAGTCTCACTGAAGGGACCCCAGATTGTGGAAGGTGTTGCCAGTATATGTATTTCCCCAAGTGTAGGACACATGCCATTAATTCCATTGGAATAAACATTTGAGCACCTATTATACATCAGACACTTTTCTAAGCACTGAACAACAAGCAGTGAATAAAACAAAAATGCCTGCCCTCATGCAGCTTATATTCTAGTTGGAGACATATAGTAGACAAAAATCAATATGTAAATTATACAGTATGACAGATCCTGGTATTCTGGAGCAGGGAGTAATAGGGGAGGGACTGTACTTTTAAATGGAGGGATCAAGAAAAAGTGCAATCAGGTGTCATAACTGAAGACCTGAAGAAGGTGAAAGGGCATGATTTATGGATAGCTGAGGGGAAAGTCCTTGAGGCAGAGTGAATAGCAAGTGCAAAGGCCCTAAAACAGAAAGAAGTTTGCTTAGGGTGTCAAAGGACAGCAAGGAGGCCAATTTAGCTCAAATCAAGTGAGGAAGATGAGCAAGCAAGAGGAGATTAAGGATGCCAACTGTTACTGAGTGACATGATCTGACTTGTTTTTAATAGGATCCCTCAGACTGCTGTGTGAGGAAGACAGTGAAGGGAGCAAGGGCAGAAGCAGCTAAGAGGCTGCTGTATAACTCTAGCGAAAGATAATACCGCTTGGACCAGTGATAGCAGGAGAGGGTGAGGAACAGCGTAATTCTAGGCATTTTGGAGGTTTGAGCTGTCAAGATTTGCTATCAGGTTGCCTGTGAGGTGTAAGAGAGAAGAGTCAACTACAGCTCCCGGGTTTTTGGTCTGAGCAACTGAAGGACAGAGTTGGTAGAGGTACCTTAGACAACTTTAGGTGGTATGTAGTTGAAGACTTCATTTTATAGTCATGTATGTTTAAGAACAACTTATTTAGGGCAACTAATATACTAACCTCCCCTTTATAATAATGGTAAAAAAGTTTCCTTTTAAAATAAATGTAAGCGGGCAAGCGCGGTGGCTCAGGCCTGTAATCCCAGCACTTCGGGAGGCTGAAGCGGGCAAATCAGGAGGTCAGGAGATCAAGACCATCCTGGCTAACAAGGTGAAACCCGTCTCTACTAAAAATACAAAAAATTAGCCAAGCGTGGTGGCAGGTGCCTTTAGTCCCGGCTACTCGGGAGGCTGAGGCAGGAGAATTGCTTGAACCTGGGAGGCAGAGGTTGCAGTGAGTCAAGATCATGCCACTGCACTCCAGCCTGGGTGACAGAGCAAGACTCTATCTCAAAAAAATAAAAAAATAAATGTAAGCAAGAGAGTCAGCTGACTGCAAGAAAAATATTAAATAGTACTACATGTGGCATTTGAAAGGAAACAGCAAAAACCTGCAAGCATACTTGAATTGCTTGTTTGGAAAATACTGGCATTTTCATCTGCAGAGTAGCCAACTAGATTATTCAATTATGCTGGATTAAGTCTCCTCTAGCAAACATAAAACTCAAAGATAGTGGTGGATTATAGGCAAAAAGCCAGACAACACAATTATTATTCAAAAGAGTTCAATCTAAATATTTAATAATCCTGATTAGGCTGGGTGGGGGAGTCACTATGCATTACTACTGGTTAATTTATAAGCCTGCACTAAATAAAAATGAAGATCAAAAGAGCACAGAATCATATTGTTAGGGAGGCTGATGACTGAGGTACCTGTTCAGAGATGGTGTTATGGGCTCAACTGTATCCCCCTCAAATTTATATATTGCAGTCCTAATTCCCAGTACCTCACAATGTGACAAAACCTGCTGACATCTCGTCCTGGACTTCTAGTTTCCAGAGTTGTGAGAAATTTGTTTAAGCCCCCCCACCCAGTCTATGGCATTTTGTCATGACAGCACTAGCAAACTCATACAGATGATAAGTGACATCTTAAGAAATGTATCAGAATTGGTAAGGATACAGAACCTCTGTCTTCCTCTATCTCCCTGGACATGCACATAGTTTACTACGGCATGTATTCCAACTGCAATGCTCTATTCCTATATATATATATACTTTTTTCTTTTTCTTTTTTTGAGACAGAGTCTTACTCTATCGCCCAGGCTGGAGTGCAGTGACACGATCTCAGGTCACCGAAACCTCCGCCTCCTGGCAGAGCCACCGCACTTGGCCAGTGATGATCTTAAAGATAAACTAGGCCCCCTCACTCTCCTACTGGAAGCCCACTCTTGGCCTCCCATCGCACCCCCAAACTTGTCACCTGGCCAACAGAGCCCCACCTGCTTTGCCAACACCATTTTGTGCCACTCTGCCTTGCTCCACTATCCTCCTCCAGCCACCAGTCCTTCTCAAAGTTTCTGAGGAGACATTCCTACTTCCTGCCTTTGCATTTGCTAGTCCCTCACCCTGGAATTCTCTGTCCCAGAGCTGTGAATGGCTGACTGGTTCCCTTACTGTCCATCCCCTTATCTTGCTTTATTTTTCTTCATAGCACTCACTGCCACTTGACATTGTAAATATATTCAGTTCCACTTTATTAGTTGTTTACTGTCTGAACTTAAGCTCCATGAGAGTAAAACTTCATCTGTTTTGTTCACTGCCAACTCTCCAATGCCTCAGGGTGCTTTGCCCTCCAGAGTAAGCACTTGAATACTTATTGAAAGAATGAATGAGTCTGGGAACAGTGGTTTAGAGGAGATGTTAAAAATGCCCAGATGTTGGATAGATTTGGAGATAGGTTGGATATGGGGCATAAGGGAAAGACTTGTCATGACTTTTTGGCCAGAGCAGTATTTGTGCCATATACTGAGCTTGAGGAGTGGGTAGTTTTTGTTTTTTTGAGGAAGAGTGTAAGGGGATTCTGTCTTGGAGGTGTTTTAAATGTGAGAGGCCTATTAGGCATCTAAATGGAGATGTCTAAGAGGCAGTTGATTGGGAATAGAAGTTGGAGAGTTGTCAGCTTACTCAGAGCCTTGGTCTGGGTAAAACAGACAGAAGACCTCAAAGGTAGACTGTGCCCTGAGGCCTGGCCTCCAGAGTCTGGAGGTCCGGCAGGTGAAGCAGAGCAGCCAGTGAGAACAGAAGCGGAGGCTCAGGGAAGCAAGAATAAAAGAAGTGATCAGATGCTGTCCAAAGCTCCAGTAATAGGTTGGGAGCTGAGAACTGACTGTGAGATTTAGAGGGTGCTCCTCAGTGCCCTGACTGAGTGACTGGGTGGAATAGCTTGATTGGAACGGGTGCAGGTAAGGTGAAGAATCTAGACAAAGGGTCTAGACAGCTGTTTTTGAAGTTTTTTTTTTTTTTTTTTTTTTTGCTACTAAGCAACAAAGAAATTAGTAGCTAGAGGGGGATATAGGGTGAGGGTTTTTTTGTTTTATGATGGATAATACAATTTGCTGATGGAGATGATTCAGCAGCAAGTTTACTATGCGCCAGGTATTCTACAAAGTGCTTTCCAGATCTTACCTCACGTATTCTGCCTTGCCACCTGTGGAGGCAGGTGTGCTGTGATTCCTGCTTGACTCAAGTTCAAGGTGACTTGCTCGGGCACAAAGCTAGATTGCTAGAGAGTTGTGGAGCCAGAATTTGATCTTAGGTCTATGGTCTAATCCTCTGCTAAAAGATAAGGGAATTTTCTCTAAAATAGGTCTGGCGTGGTGGCACATGCCTGTAATTGGGAGGCAGAGGTTGCAGTGAGCCGGGATTGTGCCACTGCACTCCAGCCTGGGCAAAACAGTGAGACTCCATCAAAAAAAAAAAGAAAAAAAAAAAAAAAAGAATGAATGATGGCTACATATTAGCTAGGCATAGTATTTCAGAATGAACAATTCTTAATGTCACAAAATTCTAATTCTGGTTTCTTTTTGAAAATACAAGAGGGCAGCATTCACAGCACCATTAATAGGGAGTTTAATATTATAAGGATTAGCAAAGGGGCTTGGTATGAATTTTAAAGGGCAAGAAAAATTATATCTTAAGAGGCAGGGTCTCACTCTTTCACCAAGGCTAGAGTGCAATGGTGTGATTTTTGG